AAACAGACAAAAGGCAATTGGAGGGACATCCGCCACCCAGTAAATGCAACAATTTCTAAAACGGTATTTTAAAATAATATTAAAGTATAAAATGTAGGTTAGTTTCTAAGGAGGAAATTAGGCTGAGACAATAGTTTATAGATTGATACAATTTAATAAAATTTTAATTCTGTACTCATTTTTTTCTTATGTTTATATTCTAATAAATGTATTTTTCTAAATTTATATATTTATCTGCCTAAATTTAGGGCCTGAATATATTTGCTTATTAACTGAGTAAATATATTTATATCTAATAATTTTGCAACAAGTCAAATTACAAACTATAGGATTTAGTAGACCATAGATTTACAACCATCTTTATCTTTCTTCATCTTTACATAAGTACTTGAATTATTTTTAATAGCTCTTTGGGAATTCATAAACTATATCTAAATCTCTTCTATAATTTTTACGTGAATTAAAGTTATACTAGATGACACATTATTTTCTTCCAATTTTCTAAAAAAGCTCTGTTCTCCATGATTGTTTCAAAATAGCTATCCATAATTCTGTAAGTCATCTCCATTCTTTGACCCTTCAACAAACTGATTTGCACACAATCTGACAGGTAATGCTATAGAGTAATATTGCAAAGTAATATTATCAGAAAAAAATTTTTAAATTTTAGAGTTGAGTTGCTGTTAGCTGGTAGAAGTAAATGTGTTACATCTTTTAAGTAATCTTAAACTCTAACACTAATATTTATTGGCAGTATAAAATTGGTGGTTCAATATAAAGCATCCTGCATTAAGAGTTGAGATCTGAGTTCTGGCTTAGCTGAGATGCTAGTTATCCCAATGACCTTGTATAAGTTATTTAGCTTTTCTGACATTCAGCAAACATTATTTAATGAAAATCATTAGAAAATCAAAATATTTCTCTCCTTCCCACACACACAAACCTATAGCTCTCCTGATTCAATTATGTTATCCATAACAATAATGATTGTGTCTAATGCATAAAATGAGAAAGACCAATGTCAAGAATAAAAACCATAACTTAACACCTATCGAAATTTCCGAACTTGGGTTCTATTTTAAATAGAACTATTTCAAGTCACAACTACTTATTGAGTGTCCCCGTGTCTACGTGAGTGGGAGGATGTTGCAGGTAGAGGAAGAGCATGAGGAGGTTAGGGGATTAGAAAAGATTTACTCAATAATTCAAATAATTTGAGATTTGCAAAATTCCCCACACTACAGTATCTGCACTAAGACAACAGCAGTATTTCCCATTCTCTGTGTGTGCACCCTTCAAGATAATTTATTGTGTCTTCTATATGCCAGACACTAGAAATGTAATGATGAACAAAAACAGACATGGCCCTGCCTTCAAGGAGTTCAAATCTGGTGTGGGAGATAATATTATGAAAGAATTTCAAGGGGAGGGTGTGTAAGTAGAGAGTTTGACAAGTGTTAGGCTAAGAGAAGACTGCCCTGATGAAGTAACACTTGAGTTATCACAAAAATATGAGAAACCCAAAAGAGCATTAGTCTATTCCTTTCAGCTACCAAAGGAGAGGCATAGGTAGCAAAAAAGACAAGGACTTAAATATCTATCCTAGGTTCCAATTCCATTTACGACACCTGTAAATTAAGTGGTCTTTGGAAATTAATGTAATCCCCACTTGATAGGATTCCATCTCCTCATATGGTTGTTGTGAGAACTGTAAGAAAAGTATATAATAGCTAGAGCACAGTGCCTGACCAAGAGTAGATATTTTAAAAATGTTCATTTAATTCCCCATTTTCTTCACCCTTCAAAATCAGACTAAGATAGAAACATTTATTTTCACAAAAAAATAAATTATTTTTCCCAGTTTTCCTAAATCAAGTGCCAGGGATCTGGTAAAAGTCTTTGGCAGTTGAAAATTTGGCCTAGTCTCATATAATCCTGGAATAAGAACTTAAAAAACTAATTTATGAGGGAGATTTTCGAGAACAGTTTTTAATCTTCTCAGACTGCTTCCAACTTCTATCAATTTTACTGCCAAAGAAAAAAAGAAGGTATAAATATTAAAAAAAAAAAATGCATAAAGCAGAACATTTCGGTTTTTAAAAACATCAAATAATATACAACTGTATAAGGGGATAGTGTTTGCTTCTCCTAAAGCCCGTGAGTAGTATAAATTAAACTACATAAAACAGGACCTCTGGAGGAGAAAAAATGGAAAATTAAATGGCGTTTAAGGCAAACAGACAAAAGGCAATTGGAGGGACATCCGCCACCCAGTAAATGCAACAATTTCTAAAACGGTATTTTAAAATAATATTAAAGTATAAAATGTAGGTTAGTTTCTAAGGAGGAAATTAGGCTGAGACAATAGTTTATAGATTGATACAATTTAATAAAATTTTAATTCTGTACTCATTTTTTTCTTATGTTTATATTCTAATAAATGTATTTTTCTAAATTTATATATTTATCTGCCTAAATTTAGGGCCTGAATATATTTGCTTATTAACTGAGTAAATATATTTATATCTAATAATTTTGCAACAAGTCAAATTACAAACTATAGGATTTAGTAGACCATAGATTTACAACCATCTTTATCTTTCTTCATCTTTACATAAGTACTTGAATTATTTTTAATAGCTCTTTGGGAATTCATAAACTATATCTAAATCTCTTCTATAATTTTTACGTGAATTAAAGTTATACTAGATGACACATTATTTTCTTCCAATTTTCTAAAAAAGCTCTGTTCTCCATGATTGTTTCAAAATAGCTATCCATAATTCTGTAAGTCATCTCCATTCTTTGACCCTTCAACAAACTGATTTGCACACAATCTGACAGGTAATGCTATAGAGTAATATTGCAAAGTAATATTATCAGAAAAAAATTTTTAAATTTTAGAGTTGAGTTGCTGTTAGCTGGTAGAAGTAAATGTGTTACATCTTTTAAGTAATCTTAAACTCTAACACTAATATTTATTGGCAGTATAAAATTGGTGGTTCAATATAAAGCATCCTGCATTAAGAGTTGAGATCTGAGTTCTGGCTTAGCTGAGATGCTAGTTATCCCAATGACCTTGTATAAGTTATTTAGCTTTTCTGACATTCAGCAAACATTATTTAATGAAAATCATTAGAAAATCAAAATATTTCTCTCCTTCCCACACACACAAACCTATAGCTCTCCTGATTCAATTATGTTATCCATAACAATAATGATTGTGTCTAATGCATAAAATGAGAAAGACCAATGTCAAGAATAAAAACCATAACTTAACACCTATCGAAATTTCCGAACTTGGGTTCTATTTTAAATAGAACTATTTCAAGTCACAACTACTTATTGAGTGTCCCCGTGTCTACGTGAGTGGGAGGATGTTGCAGGTAGAGGAAGAGCATGAGGAGGTTAGGGGATTAGAAAAGATTTTGCATATGCAACCACAGAAAACATTACTATAGCTACCTTAAAATGTGTTTGGGGAGAGGGGAGGGAATGCAGGGGAGAGTGGCAGTAGTTGTGGTGAGAAATGCCAGAGGTAATTAGCAGCAAAATTATACAGGCTTTGTAGGCCGTATCAGTATATTTAGACCTCAAGAACAATGAGGAATCATTAAAATGTTTAAGTGATGATGTGGCATGATTCAGTTTCCAACTTTGAAAACTTATTCAGGCTACAGTGCACAAAATAGATAGCAAGGGGTGAGACTGGAGACAGGAAAACCAGTTAAGAGACAGTTTTGAGATGATGAAGGCCTGAATTAGAAGGCAGTCTAATAGCAATTAAGACCAAGACTTCTGAAGTCATTTGCCTACATTTAAATCCCAGAATTTCCAGGTACCAAGTTGCTTACTCTCTGTACCTGTTTTTTCTTCTATCATCCAGAGATAAAAATCCTCACAAGGTTGTTGCCGAGGAACAAATAAAACACATGTTGCCTGGCACAGAGTAAGAATGAAATGTTTATTATCAGTATTAATGTAATTTTAATGGGAAAAAGAAATGAGAATATAACTGGAAGATGATCAGGAGACAGAAACTGACAGTTAAAATATAGGGAAAAAAAGAGAAAGAGTTGAGTAGACAGACTAGTTTCTGGCTTGAATAATGGCACTCTCTGATAAGATGAGAAACAGGTGGTTCGTAAGTTTTGATGGTATGAAGGAAAAATAGTGTTCAATTTTTAATATATTGATTGGGAGAGACATTCCAGCAGGCAGGTGAATATATTGCTCTGAAGTGAAGGAAACAAATCAAGGCTGGAGATTTGAGAATCAGAGAGACAGATGGTAATTAAATCCATGGAGATTGATAAGAGCCTCTAGAGAAAGGATATATAAAGAAATGCTGACAGTAGGTAGAAGCTATGCAACAGCAACATTTAAAAGATGGGCAGGGGAAGAGAAGCCTGTGAAGGACAGAGAAAAAGGGGGGTTAGAGTAGTAAGGGGATGCTCAAAAATGTCAATACTGTGAAGTAGTGAAATAAGGACTGAGAGTTTTCACTGGATTTAGCAACAAATTATTCGTTCACAAAATAAATGTGTCAAGCATTGTGCTAGGCCCTGGAGATACAGTGGTAAATAAGACAAATAAGAGCCTTGCACACACAGACTTTATGTTGTGTAGACAGACAGTAAACTAGTGAACTAGTTGAAATAGAGATAAAGTGAAATGACAGCCCAGTTTAGATAACGATTTTGGGAGAGCATCTCTCTGAGGAGGGAAGATTTAAATTGAAACTTAAAACAGGAAAGGACTTAGCATGGTCAGAGAATTGAAAGAGGCCCTTGAGGCTCCAGTAAACTGGTAAAGGAGCGATGGAGAAAGAGAAGCCAAAGCATGTTTGTAGATTATGCTGAGTGCATAGTGAGAAAAGTTTAGATGATGACCTGTTGAGTCATGTATGAGTTAAGATCACTCTAGCTAATAACACTTAGTATTTGCTTTTCTTCATTTACACTAGCCTTAATAATCAGAAATAGGACATTGTACCAATCTTTCAACCATTAACCGTTTATTATAACAATTATCAGAATAAACTTTTCTGTTTTAAAGGGTACTATACGATTACAGCATGTTACCCATTACATTTTCACTAATCCTCTTTTTAACCTTCTTCTATATTTCTTTCAAAGATATTTCTCATAATCTCTGCTTGACTCTGTCATTAAATATTATTTCTCTGAGGTATTTTCAAGCAATGTACATCAGAATTTGAACATTTTACAAGAAGATTCAGCAAGGTATGACTAAAACCTCATGGAATTCATCAAAAAAAAAAAATAGTCCATAGTGCTTTTATTCCATAGTTTTATGTTCCTATTTCCTTAATCTATATATTTATATACTTGTAAATGATAAAAGTTGATGCAAAAACATTGGCTTGATTCTGAACAGCTGAATTATATGTCCCTAGTATTTTTTCATTTCCTTGTCTTCGAGAGGAAGAATTTATAGCCTTTTCATATTTCATAAGGATATCAAGAACATCCTTATGAAATATAGATCTATAACCAGCACTGTGCTAGGAACATTACATAAATTATTTTTAATCTTCCCATACCCCAAAAGGTAAGTATTATTCTTTCCATTTTACAGATAAAAAAGCAGTCTCGGAGAGATTGGGTGACTTGCACAAAACTGCACAGCCAGAATTTAAGCCCAGTTCTGTAATCACAAAAACTCTGGTCACTATACCATGATGCTTCAGACTATTAACAGATTGGGTTCCTTAAAAATACTTATCAGATACAAAACATTAAATCATAAGATGAATTTTAAATAACAAAAAATGTTATTTTATTAAATTTTTAATAAACTGTATACAACTCAGATATATTTGCCATACACACCATTCCTATATATTCATCACTCCTTTTGGCATAACAACTTGATTTTAATTTTTTTTTTAATAATGGAGAAGAAAAATAAAACATAACCAGACTGTATTTAAGGTCCAAGAATTACCATTCTAGTCCAATTTTTTTCCAGTTAATCTTTAATACAAATATTAAATCCAATTAACTAACAGTAACTACCTACCTATTCTCACAAAACTTATGTCTCTCAAAATTAAATTACAAATGGTTTATGGTTTTCCAGAATCAGAAAAACCTAATCTCTGATTAGAACCTCTAAATGTCATTACCTCTCTGAATTTGAAAGATAACAAGTCTCAATAAAAGTATCATAATTTGCTCTCAGCAGTACCTATAGATTTATTGTACTGTAAGCTCTTCTTCCTAAGATTTGTCAGGTAGCCAAGTCATAAGATTCTGTCTGAAAAAGTCTACATACTTAACAAAAAGAAACTGCTGCCAGATCATCTTTATTTTCCTTAACAAAATACACACAAGAGCACAAAAATTCACTTATAATATCATCATTATTTTACAAGTATAAATAATGCTCAGAATTCAAGTACAGTCAAGTACAGAAATATTTCCTATATGTTAATATGTAAACATAAGCTAATTATATACATCATGTGCTTTTGGCCCAGCTGCAAAATAAGAGACATAGAAAACAAACACTGCACTTGACTGTTCAATTGCATTCTTAAACTGAGAATTCGTACCAATGCCTATATAGTTACAGTTAAAAACTTTCATACTGCTTAATATAAATGCCTAAATAGACATTTTACCCCTGGCAAATACCTTAAGAGTAAAAATTCTATCCATTTTTAATGATGATGATGTATTAAAATCTTAATTGAGTTTCATTCCTTAAAACAAACACTATTAGAACTTATCCTTAACCAAAGTTCTTCCTATGTCAAAATGGATATTATTTATAGGTCACATATATATAAGAAAACAAGAGTGCTATGTTTGTTTACTTTTAGAATGGAAAATAAATTTCTAAAAGCTGTCTAAACAGTGTGAATCTTTGTACATCCAAAAGGATCTTACTTTACTGATATCACTTGCTTTTAGTTTTAATATCCAGTATATATAACTTTGACATACTGAAATAGCTAGGCAATCTGAATTCAAGTGATATCAAGCATATCCTTAGAGGAAAAAAAAAGCACCACCTAAAAGAAATAACTGACATAAACAAGACTACAAATATCCAGTTGAAGGTGCGTGGAAGCATTTACTACATTGCCATCAAAGATTCTCCACTTAGTTCAGGATTAGGAGTAGAATCAGCTCTAGGAACTGTTGATTTGGCTTCATTCTTTGAAGTTTCCTCCTCATTATCTATTTCTTCTTTCTTCTCCAGTTCTTCCATACCAGATGCTTTTTCAATCACTTGGTTTGTCTGCTCTGTATCTGATATGTTGTCCTCTGTCTGCTCTGTACTGTTATCAAGACTATCTTGTTCTTCTAAAGACTCTGAAAAAATAAAGAGTCAAGACTTTAAGAATACCCAAATGGTAAAATTGTTAAATAAGCAGAAGATAAGCACACATGTACAACCTTATATTATCCTTAAAATCTTTTAAAGTATGTACTTAAATCCCTATAGCATACCTATATAATTGATATGAATAAAGGGAAAAAAAACAATTTGAGGAAAACAACTCATAAACATACTTTTATCTAAAGCCTCATATTTTCATAAAATTTAGGAACTTTCATAATATTTAGGAATTTTTCTAAAGATGTAATTGAATGCTGAATGTCCAAATAATGTCGAACAAAGCCTCAATAGAATTATGTGCTGTAAAACAACAGCTCGGAAAACAAAATAAATGTATTAACACTCAGAATATGTTTCCTGAGAAAATGCCTCCTTGTGCCCAGGCAACCCTGTGAGCAAAGTGTAAATATGCACCTTTGCCTGTGTACACACGTACACATGTGGGTAAGCACTGCTATTTCCCACACTGATTTACATCTCCACTATCCAAACACTGAGAGGTCTGGATCTACCTTTCCCAAAGGCATGACTGGTCTCCCCTCATCCTTCTGCAAGATGGATCTCCTCAGGATTCAAACCCCTGGGTCAGAATATGCTACATACCACAAATGCTAGGGAGAGAAAGGGAAGGGTCTTTTGTCCCTGTCTCTGTTATGGAAACTAAGTAAAGGTCTTGGTCCCTACCAAAAAATGTACTCCCTTTAAACTCTCTTTTAAGTTTCATTAAATTCAAATTCCTTAATAATAATTTAATAATAATTAACAATTTTAATAATTGTTAACAATAATAATTAACAATTAATAATAATTAATTTTATTAAAGTTCTTATAATTCTTTTAAGTTTAAAAAATGGGATGGGGGTAATGACAGGAGCAGAAAGCTTTGGAGCCCCCAATTTCCAGGTCAAAGATAAAAATCTAGCTTTGAGATACTCCTTTTTGTTTTGTTTTTATTATAAATAGCAACTAATATCCTTACTAAAAGAAATATGGTTAAACCACTAATAAGCTAAACAAATACACAGATTTTCCTACCCTCAAAGAAGACCCCTCATTGATATACTACAAATGTTATCGATTCCAAAAATCTGGATGTCCATGAATGGATAAGAAGAGGTGGTACATATATAGAATGGAATATTACACAGCTATTAAAAGGAATGACATCTTTCCATTATATGTGGAATCTAAAGAACAAAATAAACAAACAAAACAGAAACAAACACATAGATATAGAGAACATTTTGTTGGTTGCCAGATGGGAAGGGGCTTGGGGTGATAGGTGAAAAAGGGGGAAGGGTTTAAGAAGTACAAATTGGTAGTTACAAAATAGTCATGGGGATGTAAAGTATAGCATAGGAAATATAGTCAATATTGTAATAACTTTATATGGTGTCAGATAGGTACTAGATTTATCAAGGTGCTCATTTCATAAGTTATATAAATGTCTAATCACTATATTGTACACCTGCAACTAAAATAATATTGTATGTCAACTATAATTGAAAAATAAAAAAATTATTTTTAAAAAAATCTGGAGGAAGAACCAATCTACATTAGTAAAAAGTTCTAGTTTAGTTCCATGTATAGTAGAGGCCAGAGTTTTGCTGAATAAATTTAATTAATAGTTTTGCAAATAAATTATGTACTATGTATGTACACATGCTAAGGCAGAGGTCTTACCAATTTGTGGTTTTACCAATCAGTTTTAATAAATACAAATTATCTATATCTCACTTTTAAAATATTTTAAAAGAATTATTTCTTTAAACAGATATCTTGGACTCTAGTTTACAAAATAAATTACAACCTCTTTC